AACCCGAAGGAGGCTACGCCGAAGGGCGGAGTCTCCTTCGGGGAGGTATAACCGGCCCTGAACCCGTTTATACGGGTTCAAATGGGTTATTTTTAGGCCGAGCCTAATGGCTCGGGAATGCCCACGTTAAAAAGGCCTTGTGCCACATGACACCCTCGTGGGGGGGTGACTGAATATCATCAGTCGTTCACCTCTGAACTGACTGTTCGGTTCATCTCTCTTCCTACGGGCGAGAGGAACCCGAAGGAGGCTACGCCGAAGGGCGGAGTCTCCTTCGGGGAGGTATAACCGGCTCTGAACCCGTTTATACGGGTTCAAATGGGCTATTTTTAGGCCGAGCCTAATGGCTCGGGAATACCCACGTTAAAAAGGCCTTGTGCCACATGATACCCTCGTGGGTGGTGGTAACTGAATATCATCAGTCGTTCAAGTTGGAGTGAGTAATTCAAGTCGAGTCAAGAGTCGAGTTAGTAGTTCAAGTCGAGTCAGTAGTTCAAGTCGAGTCAAAGTCGAGTCAGAGGCAGTCCGAAACAGAGTCGCGTACAGACAATTACTGCAAGACATTGGAATAGTGATACTGGTCGAGACTACATTGTTCTCTCTACTAAACCTGATTGTCCGTACTAACACTTTCTACTTCTCTGTATATATTCCTGTTTGTAATATATCTGTGTTATTCCAGACCTGTGTTCGCTTTCTTCTTTATTGCTTCTACCTTGGACTATCACCGTGGTACAAGGAACCGGACCATAACAGATAGTAATAGGATTTCAAGCGTAATCCCTAAAATCGAAAAGAGAGTAAAATTTAAAAAAAAATGATAGCAGGAGTCTTTCAAATGTAGCCCCTAAAGTCGAAATTCAAAATTTTGTAGCGTTGAGCTTTTCAAAAGTAATGCAATCTAATATACTTGAAAAAGAACGAGTTCATCACTTCAGTGTCCACTACTGTCCTTCATTCTATCTGAGTGAGGACCAGTAGTGGACATATTGAAATCGATTGCTGGTTATGAATAGACTGGCGTTGATAAGAGCAGTGCGTGAGACAGATATGATTGGACAGACAGATAAGCATACCGCCTTTTCATTGTATCTATTCGCTTCTTTTCAAATGTCTTCTCGCTGATTCTCATAAACACTGATTAAAGAAAGACACTTAATCGATTGATTTAATATTTTAACCTTCATTTGTGGTTTCGGTCGATATGGGAAACATCGAACAGTCATTCATCACCTTGACTGAACACAGTCAAGCATAACGCAATCGACATAAGTCCTGACATGATTATTATGCTCAGGTTTGGTATACGCAACGAAAACAAACTTCTGATTTGTATTTGTTTTGTTTCTTTAGCGGCATATCAACTTCTTATGAGTCATTTAATGCCGAAATATTTGGGAGGGAAATTAGTAATTTCTTTTACAAAAATCTATTGCTTGTAATTTCTTTTTACTAGAAAAATGTATTGCTGGCACCTTAACTGTGAAAATGTATTTTTAAAAATTCATAGTGTTTTGACCCCAGTTTCCTTATTTGTCAATGGCTGGGACCCTAACAGGTGTTACCGCCCCGGGTCTGGGATGAGAAGAAATCATTATTAGTCTAGTGGATTAACTCTTTGCGGCCTGCGTTCCTGAACAATTCTAACCTTTCTTCGAAACCATTACATTCATTTACGTGCTAATAATACTCTTAGGAAAGTTATGAATCCTCTTCTTCCCCCACCCCTCTCTTAGGAAAGACCGGGTTCTATAGCCTTGGGTATCAACTGGTCTACCGCAAAAAAGAAATGGCATCTACTGAGGGAAAAAATCCGTCTCGTCAGTCATGTATCGAAAGGTACATGATCGCCTAAGCGTGTATCACGCATGGCACATAACTGACTAAATGATTAGCGACTAGGTTTGAGGAATCGGAGATCCGAGTTCGAATTCCATTCGAATCCATTACATTCACTTACATGCTAATACCCTTGGGAAAAGGTATGAATCCTCTTCTCCTCACCCCCAGGACAGACCGGGTACTATAGCGTAGGATGGCAACTCGTCTACCGCAGAAAGAAATGGTAACCTACAGCGAGAAAAAAATCTGCCTCGTCAGTCATGTTTCAAAAGATACATGATCGCGTAAGCGTGTATCACGCATGGCACATAACTGACTGACTGCGTAAGCTCCGGAATAATCATTGTCATACTCCAGTTCCGATAAGTTAAGCATATCAATTATTTGCTGCGCTGTGTAAAGTTCTTTTCTCGCACATTTTGTTCCTGATTGCTTCCCTGACGGTCCAGGATGAGACTCTGTATGCTTCATGGGAAAAACGATCTTTTTTAATCCAAAACACATGCACAAAACACAATGAAAATACGCGGACATGTTGGTATTAAGTCATATTTCTCTACCACTGTTCAACTGGTAGCTGGACATTACGTCATTTTTCTCTATCACCAGTAAAGCAGTGGTCAAGGCTCAAAGGGTTAAAGCGTTGGTTCGGAAATTTGATAACATAGTAGTAATTGCGAGTTCAATCCTTGGGACGGACTGTGTATTTGAATTCAATGGAAACAGGCGGTCAATAACTGAGCAGTACTAAAAACAAAAAATTAGACGAGATATCGCAAGACAAGGACAGTGGAACGAGTCAGTCTATTCTCGTAGATTAAATAAAGGATTCATTACAGAATTCCTTGTAGGTTACCCGGATGAATATACACCTTATGAAGGCCGGAAGGCACAACGGCCGAAATGATGTGATAAAAACAACAAAGATGAGGACAATAGTCCGAATATAAATAGTGTAAATAACGATATCAATAAGCATTAGACTTTTCTCTCTCTTGGCTCAATAGTGTAAATTAAATTCATTCTTCAAGAATGAAGATCAAGATGCCTTTTATTCAATTATATATTCACCATATATTTGCAATGACGTTACTACATCCAGTCTTTTGAAAAGGAGTAGAGGTTTATCCGTTGTTTCCTGTTTAGGATTGGGTTTCCGGTTCCTTCTAAGTTTTCTAATTCTCTTTTGTTCCCAGTAGCCTCTTCCGTTTTATTGGCTTTGTCGCCTTGCTTGGGGTGAGTTGATTAAAAAAAAAATCAAGTAGCTTTTCGCTACATATTGAGTAAAATCACTCATGTTCTGTTGTGAAGTAGTTCTTGAATACTTTCAAAGCGTTTTGAAAGCATCTAAAAAAGTAATAATCTGTTGGCGCGAAGTCAGGTGAATATAGCCGGTAGGCTCGACTAGATCAATCTAGTAACTGTTTATTCTTCCTATATACTGCCTATTTTTCTTTTTTACTCATTGACGAGCACAGGTGGGCCTAACGACGAGGCAAATTTTTCCCGCAGTAGGTTGCCATTTCTTTCTGCGGTAGACCAGTTGCCATTCAAGGCTATAGAATCTGGTCTATGTTGCTATTTCCCCATAGCTGGGGGGAGAAGAGGATTCATACTTTCCCAGCACGTAAGTGAATGTAATAGATTCGACTGGATCCAAGCCGCTATCCAATATGCCACCGTTAGTAAAACATTAACTTCGACGGGTTGTCTCGCTAGATCTATTACGACTGAATAGTGTGTTCGATCCTCACTGGGTGCTCCATAATTTCGGCCTTGTGCCGCATCTAAGCTACGCTTGGAAAATCATTTTGGACACTTTGATGTGATGTAACGATAAGCAGGTTTGTCTCACTCTCGCTAGATCTGTTACGACTGAGTAGTGAGTTCGATCCTCACTGGGTGCTCCATACTTTCAGTTTTGCGTCACAACTAAGTTATGCTTCGTTAATTTCCAATGATGAGCACAGGACTCTTTCGGCCATATTTGAAGGGACACGTTGCTCCCAGATATATCCCCTATATTTTAAGAATTCTAAATAAAAACTAACCTGATCATCTAACCTCACAAACATTATAGTTTGGGGATATTGGGACTAAAATTCAAACAAAGATTTCTGTTGTGGTTTATCAACTTTATTTTTCACAAATAAATTAATCAATAAATTTATATTTTCTTTAATTATACTTGGTGTAACAGCAAAATTGTCCAAATCGTGTAACAGCAAAATTGTCCAAATCGTGTAACAGCAAAATTGTCCAACACGTGTAACAGCAAAATTGTCAAAATCGTGTAACGGCATAAGTGTCAATCCCACAAAATGTTTAATATCTAAAAAAAAAAAAAAAAAAAAGAACTAAATTAATTGTTTCTTTTTTCTAGGTTGTCAGATAAGATATTTAGCCCTCTTGACACGATTTGTCATAAGAATCACAGAAAAACCCTATTGTTCAGCTAGAAAGAGAACAGGTTAAAATCGTTTTCTTTCAGCCTCACTATGTCTTCTCAACTGAGCAATGGTGAGAGGAAAAAGATCATTCGAGCCGTCGGTACCAACATTCATACTCTGGCTTCCATCTTCAAAGTCCATTCAAGGACCATCAAGAGAATGGTGAATAAGTTTAAAAAAAGGGAGCATTAAAGAGGAAAACTGGATCGGGATGTCACAACAGGAAGAGGGATCATCATTTCAGCTTAGAGCTAAATACAATCTTATTGCTCAAAGTAGATTCCAATAGTGTTATCAGAACCTCGGCGATTTTCAGTAAGATAACTTTAATCATTTCTGGGATACAATGGTTCAAAGCTTGGACAATTTTGATGTTACACCCGGTATACCACCCAGATATACTTCTCACATAATGGTATGGCATTACTGGAAATGAGGTCTTGATCTAGGTAATGCTTTACCATTATATGGGAGATATTTCTGCCGAATCGTGTATATTCCTCATTATTTGCAATGAGTTGTTGCCACTTATCAGGCAACTATTTACAGTGTAACCCGGATATAAGAGAGTTGTCGGGACCGGAGACGAAGTCTCTTATATCCGGGTTTCTCTTATATCCGGTTTTGGTCTATTTTGTTTACATTAACACAGGTTCTAATTTGGGACCAGAGAAAATCTCTTATATCCGGGTTTCTCTTATATCCGAGTCCCCTATATCCGGGTTACACTGTACTATCTTTTCTGTAAAATACTCTTTCTTTGTTCTACTTCACTCTATTACTCGTTCTTTCTTTTTTTTTTCTTTTCCTTTTTTTTTTCTTTTTTCTTTCTTTTCTTTTCTTTTTTTTTCTTTTTCTTTCTTTTTTCTTTTTTTCTTTCTTTTCTTTGTTTCTTTCTTTTCTTTTCTTTCTTTTTCTTTTTCTACTTTCATTTTTCTTAAATCTTCTTTTTCGTTTTTTCTTTCTTTCTTTGCTTGTTTCTTTCTTTCTTTCTTTCTCCTTTTTCTTTTTTCTTTCTTCTACTTCCCTCATTTATTCTTAAATCTTCTTTTATCGTGCTCTCTTTCTTTCTTTCTTTGCTTGTTTCTTTCTTTCTTTCTTTCTTTCTTTCTTTCTCCTTTTTTTTTCTTTCTTTTTCCTCATTTATTCTTAAATCTTCTTTTTAACTTCCCTCATTTATTCTTAAATCTTCTTTTATCGTGCTCTCTCTTTCTTTCTTTCTTTGCTTGTTTCTTTCTTCCCTTTCTTAAATCTTCTTTCTCTTTCTTTTTTTTTCTTTTTTCTTTCTTTCTTTCTTTTCCTTTTTCTTTTTTTTTCTTTCTTACTTCCCTCATTTATTCTTAAATCTTCTTTTATCGTGCTCTCTTTCTTTCTTTCTTTGCTTGTTTTTCTTTTCTTTTCTTTCTTTCTTTTCTTTCTTTTTTCTTTCCTTTTTCATTTTTTCTTTCTTTCTTCCCTCTTTTTTCTTTTTTCTTTCTTTTCTCTTTCTTTCTTTTTTCTTTTCCTTTTCTTTCTTCTTCTTTTCATTTTTCTTAAATCTTCTTTTTTCGTGCTCTCTTTCTTTCTTTTCTTTTCTTTTCTTTCTTTTCTTAAATCTTCTTTATCGTTCTTCTCTTCTTTTATTTCTTTCTTTCTTTCTTTTTGCTTGTTTTCTTTCTTTCTTTCTTTCTCCTTTTTTTTTTTTTCTTTCTTCTTCCCTCATTTATTTTAAATCTTTTTTATCGTGCTCTCTTTCTTTCTTTCTTTTTCTTTCTTTCTTTCTTTCTTTCTTTCTCCTTTTTCTTTTTTCTTTCTTCTACTTCCCTCATTTATTCTTAAATCTTCTTTTATCGTGCTCTCTTTCTTTCTTTCTTTGCTTGTTTCTTTCTTTCTTTCTTTCTCCTTTTTCTTTTTTCTTTCTTCTACTTCCTCATTTATTCTTAAATCTTCTTTTATCGTGCTCTCTTTCTTTCTTTCTTTGCTTGTTTCTTTCTTTCTTTCTTTTTCTTTCTTTCTTTCTTTCTTTCTCCTTTTTCTTTTTTCTTTCTTCTACTTCCCTCATTTATTCTTAAATCTTCTTTTATCGTGCTCTCTTTCTTTCTTTCTTTCTTTCTTTCTTTCTTTCTTTCTTTCTTTCTCCTTTTTCTTTTTTCTTTCTTTTTTCATTTTTCTTAAATCTTCTTTTTTCCCTCATTTCTTTCTTTCTTTTTTCTTTCTTTCTTTTTTCTCCTTTTCTTTTTTCTTTCTTCTTTTCCCTCATTTTTCTTTTCTTTGCTTGTTTCTTTCTTTTTTCTTTCTTTTCTTTCTTTCTTTCTTTCTTTCCTTCCTTTTTTTTTTCTTTCTACTTCCCTCATTTATTCTTAAATCTTCTTTTATCGTGCTCTCTTTCTTTTTCTTTCTTTCTTTTTCCTTTTTCTTTTTCTTTCTTTCTTTCATTTTTCTTAAATTTCTTTTTCTTTCTTTCTTTTCTTTTTCTTTCTTTCTCCTTTTTCTTTTTTTTTTTCTTCTTCTTCCCTCATTTACTTCTTAAATCTTCTTTTATCGTGCTTCTTTCTTTCTTTCCTTCTTTCTTCTTTCTTTCTTTCTTTCTTTTTTTTCTTTCTTTTTCTTCCTCATTTATTCATTAAATCTTTCTTTTATTTCATTCATTTATTCGTTCAATTTTTCTTTCTTTTCTCTCCTCATTCACCTTTTCATATTTCTTTTTTGCCTCCACAGACTTAGATTTCTTCTAATCCATTTTCTCACTCTTTTCACCGACCATTATTTTATCGACCCCTACATAGCACACATCATCCCTGAACACCCATCCCAATTAGTTCAGCCCCATCATCTTGTCCCCTATCAATGTTTTATTCATATTTCATCCTCATCTTCAATTCCCTATTTACTTTCCTTTGCCTCGCCCATATCCGTTCTTTTCTCTTTCCTTCTGTTCTTCACTCATTCTCTCTTCTAAACCTTCCATTCTTCCCTCTTCTTAATTTTCTGCTTCCTGTTTTTACCTTCGCAGCATGGTACGGCGCCATTTTGAAAAATGGCTACCGACATTAGCAATCCACCAATAAGGCTTTCAACCTATATTAAAAGCGAATTTGTGTATACCAAAAGTCTTAATCCATCGTGCGCCGCTATTTGCTAAACCGCGTCGGCCATCAGCAGGCGACAATTACTGCTTAATATCAGTTTGCTTTTGCGTTCTTGCCAGCGTATAAAACATCTTCGCCCTGATGGTGGCCTTTTACTGCATTGACGAAAGAGGACATATTGGTCACGATCGACAAGCTGATAAATTAGATTCTTTCAGAGTTTTATTTGTTGTTGTTGTTGTAACTCTGACTGTGAAATAAAAGCAGGAAAAAAGAAGAAAAGACAGCAAAATACTGCAAAAGGAAAGATCGAAATAAAGTAAGAAAGTCAAAACAAAGAAGTTAGAAAGAAAATATTAGAGAATAAATTATAAAAGAAAGCAAATGAAATTATTCTTTCTATTTGTTTCTCCTAATTATTACATTTATCTTCTTCTTCTTCTTCTTCTTCTTCTTCTTCTTCTTCTTCTTCTTCTTCTTCTTCTTCTTCTTCGTTCCGTGTCCCTTCAGGACGTAGGCACTCATGGCTCTCCACAACTTCATATCTCGTGTGACTGTTAACCGTTTTTCTCCCTTTGCTAAGGGCCTCCGCCATCCATTTACACAAGATCGTTGGATAAACGGCTCGTTGTCTTACATTATCTCTCTTGCCCTCAATACGTCCCTTGAGGGTTAAGCACTTTTTCATTTCTTATGCGTTCAATGAATTTCCGCTGTCTGATTTTTTAATATAAGAATTCTTTCTGTTGCCATTTTCTTTAAGTCTTTCTTGTTGCTTACTCGCTTCGCCCATGGAATTTTCAGTATCTTTCAATAAACGACATTTCTGCATCCTCTATTTCTTCTCGCCTATAGGGAAATTGTCCAACATTCACCGCCATATGAGAAGATGGATATCACATAACAATCCTGTCTTCTTTTCTTTCTTTCTAATTTCTTTTCTTTTTCTCGGCACCTTGCTAAACCTTTTCGGAATGTTTCTTTCGTTCGTCTAATGTTCAGATCATGGTGTCGTATTTTCCAATCTGTGTTAAAACGCTTACCAGATATTTGAACTTAGGCACCTTCTTGATGTTTATATAGTGATTTTCCAAGCGTAGCTTATGTGTAGCACAAGGCTGAAAGTACGAGGCACCCAGTGAGGATCGAACTCATAACTCAGTCGTAATTGTTCTAGCAAGACAAGTTTGTTGACCATTATCCCACCTCGGAGTGCCCTTCTTGATTTTTATATATCCAATTCATAATTCGCATCTTGTTTTTTTTTTCTCTTGTTGATTACTTTCTGTTTTCTTGCAGTTAAGGACTAGATCTTTTTCCTCGTTTTCTTCTACGATCCTGTCTAGGAGGTTCTGTAGTTTCCATTTGGAGTCGGCCCTCAACACAGTGTCATAGGCGTATCTTATATTGTTACGATTACGCCCACTGACAATAAATCCTGGTCGAATCTTCAGTCCCCTTAGGATAGCATCACTAAGAGGGCCGGGTAGTTATTTTTGCGCATCAAGATGAGTCGACCACGCTCTGAAAGACTTAACACTCAGGTTTTGTTTTTAATAATTTCATCCAAAGCAAGGTGGGAGTGACATTAGTACGCAGCGGGTTAGTGAAGGTTAGAGAAAAGACTGGGTAGAGGTGGATTAAAGAAAGGACAAAAGATGATCGGGATTCAAGATGATAGAAGATGGCGATCGATGTTGCATTTAAATTTTTGAAGATTGTAGTTTTCAGGGAAGCAATTAACCGGAAGGGAGTTCCACAGACAGGACATGCGAGAAAAGAAACTTTTGGTGCAGAAGTGGCAGTTACATTCCATTATTTAAACAGTAAAAGGGTGGGACCTAGATGCCAAACTAGTAGCACACTTAAATTCATGTAGTTGGTGCATCAGGAAAAAAAAACTCCTCAGAAAAGTTGCTACGAAAATATTTGTAGAAAAGACAGGAAAGCCACATCAAGTCGGTGAGAAAGTAACTGAAGTCAAGATGTCAAGTCAGGATCGGTTACATCCAGGATCCAAGAATCTTTGGATTTTGCCAAGAACTTCAAGATAAATAGCAGGAGTACCAGATCAGATATGGAAACAGCATTCAATGAACGAACGAATGGTAGATTTGTAAATGCGCAAGATGGACTCTGACGAGAAAAAAACCTTCTGGCACAACACAGTGACCGAACTTTCCTAGCAGCAGATGTAACTGTTGATTCGATGTAGTCGTTCCATTTCAAGTCAGTTGAAAATGTGAAGCCAGCAAGGCGCAGTGTGTTCCTCTCCAGGAGAATAGCATCAGCCATACTGATGGCAGACAGGAAAGTTTCTCCATGGTGGTTAGATGAGAGCAGTTTCGTTTTGGGGACAAGAAAATTTACAAGCCATCTGCTCCAGTTAACCACTGATTGGAGGTCCTTTTCAAGAGCAGTGGTCAGGTTAACTTTGTCAGCTCTGACGGATTTCTTATTGAGACAGGTGTAAATACTAGTGTCATTTACATAAATGCCTTCTTAGGAAATGATGACGTCAGAGAGATCATTGATGAAGATCAGGAACAGCGTAGGACCCAGTATATAGTCTTGGGGGTAAACCGTGATCGGGTGAAAGGATCTGGAAGCGAGCTCGTTCAAAAGGACCTTCATTTCACGATTTGATAGAAACAATTGGATTAAATCAAACAATCGTCCTGTAATACCGTACACCTGGAGCTAACGTAGAAGACCAGCGTGCCAAACACTGTCAAACGCCTTCGAGATATCTAGAGCCACAGCTTCGCCGTTATAATTAAGAGCTTGATATACATATTCAGTGTTGCCCACTATTTACATTATTCGGTCCACTGTCCTCATCTTTGTTGCCATATTTATCACAACGTTTCGGCCGTTGTACGTTCCGGCCTTCTTCGAGTGGTTGAAATGTCGAACTGAACCCTTTATTTCGCTCGCTGGGGTAGACTGTTCTAGTTCCACGTGTCATGTCTTATGGACGTCAGTTATCCCCTGTTAATTCCTCTCTCCAACTTCTCCACCGTCTTGACCAGGTATTGAACTCATACTCTTTGGGTCCTCTCACTGGATCTAACTAACGCCTTTACCCACTGTGCCATGTGTCCTTAAGTGTTGCCCGTTATCGCAGCAGCGGAAGAGCTGGCAAAATGGAAATTATTGTTTATCAGAGAGTAGTTCGTGAGAGGTAAGTTTCTTACCCATTTCAGCATTAATTAATGCCTCGAATACTTTGCCGAAAGGCGATAGGAGACTGATAGGGTGATAGTTAGAGGGGTC